TTTTGTTTTTAATTATAATTAATTTTTATTAAAGTATTATTTTATTATTTTATTTATTTTAATCTTTTTTTTTTTCCTTTTTTTTTTTTTTTTTTTATATATTTTATTTATTTATTGATTTATTTTTTTTTTTTTTTGATTGATTATTAGATATTGGTATAAGAACGCTCGTTGCGGAACAACCTCTTCTTTAATTAGTAATTGGCTTTCTTCTTCTGCGTACATTAGTATGCAGAAGTATCGGTAGTTATTTCTTCTAAAAATTCTTGACTGAAAATTTCTAAACTCTTTATCAATAAGATATATATTATGTTGAATTTATGATTCAGTCCTATAGCATATATTGGTGGAATGACCTTGGTAGCGTTGGTTTCTATGTGGATTTTTATGCAACAAACACATATAACAGATTGTGATTCGGATTCTGAAGATTCCAATGATCCTAATGACGGTTTTTCTTCGATTCGTCGGGAGAGAATTACGAGCACCATCGGACGCAAAAGGGGACGAACGGTAACATCTAAAAATACCTCGGGAATCAAACCTAATAATTCACCTATTCCTGCCAGCAGAGATTCTAAACAACTTAAAAAAAATGAATTTGACCGTTATCAGCCGATTTTTCAAAAGTTTAGAACGCGCGGTGATGATAACCGCTCTAATAAAAAATCAAAACCTTCGTTGACCGAAGTTAATCATGATAATTCTACAAATTCCCCAATAATTGGGTCTTGTGGATGTGCTGAAAATAAAATTGAGGCTTTTAAACAAAATAAAAATCTAAAGTATCAAAATTTACAAATACTCGGCAAACGATCTAGGTCAAATCAATGTGATCAGCGTCCCAATGGTCGCTTTCTTGCCGGAACTGTTTATATTAATAGGAATGCTCATGAATATACTAATATTAAACTGCAAGGTCATAAAGCAGATACTTCCGCAAACTTTAATAATACTCAAAGTACTGTTAGACATTATGGTATAAATGAAGTCGGTGTCAGCAGAATTGAGTCTGAAGTTAAAAACGCGATTAATGATTTACAAGATAGAATTTCCATTGCTCTTAATAAAATTAGATCAACCAAAATCGATGAAGGTTAGTTTAAAAGTTTTAAAGTTAAAAAAAAAAATCTTGTTTTCTCAAAATATTAATATTTTGTTTTAATTCTTATATTTAGTTACCTGTGATTATGATGATATCATGAACGTAGAACCATCACCGTTTCTAAGCACCCTAGAAGCTATCGAACAAAGTAGATTTGATCGAGATGCACATATTGCGACTCAACTCGAAAGACAGATAGAATTGGAGGATGACGTTGAATTTATCATTAAAATGATCAAAGGATCAAATTACTCTGATTCTAATGGTGAGAATTGGATTAGTAATAATTATTCTGAGATCTCTGTGAATGTTAACGACTCACCGAAATCCGGAAAAAAAGTAGTAACTTTCGCAACACTTGCATCAGATATTGAACAAACGTCCCAACGTAGAATATTAAGAAATTTTGAAATACTTGAAATTTTAAATAAAAAGGAGCTCACCGAGAAAATTATCGAAGAAAGTTTAAAAAGTGCAATCAAAATTGTAAAAGCTCAATCATTGGCAAGAGCCCGAAGCACGAGGCGATTAAAGCGACCACATAAGATAAGTTATGAAATTGATGATGTTGACAAAAAGCTCCTATATATTGATTCATGGCAGAAAGATATGATTGATAGGCTTAATGGTTTAGAGTGTGAGTTTGATGCTATAGAAGAAATGATCGATAATGATCAAATACTTACAGAATTATTTGAGGCCAAACAAAATAAGGATGGTGAAGGTTAACTTGTATTATTATTTTTTTAAATTATGTAGTGAGTTTTTCTATTGCTTGATGTGATAGTGTATATAAGTAATTAGCGGCACTTGATATTATAGCATTGTAAATAATTGTATAACAATTTTACAATTCATGTTCTCACATGCATTTATTTTCATTCACTAGATTTAGTTTTCTTTTTTCGCATCGATTGTGTATATAGAATACATAGATATTGTTTTTAGCAATTGTATATAGACGAGGTGGGGTCTGGATACTCTATTCTTTTGTTATAATGTATTATAAATCTGTTTCAGTGTTTTAATGGTATTATCGGTCAAAAAATATTATTCGAACATTCATTCGTTCAATCTTTTAATATTCGAACATTTATTGAATATTGTGAATGTTTTGAAAGCATATAAATCTTATCACGGATGATGCTGAAAAATTTGGGGTCTCTTTGAAAATCCGCCTATACTCTTTTATTCTCGTATTAATAACTCTATTCATAAATTCTAATTTAGCCTTTAAAAAAAATCGCATATCATCAGCATCATTCGCGACAAATATTAATGAATAGCTTGTTTAAACATGTTATATACGTACGTAATAAATTAACGATATATATTTATATTCATAAATTAAATTAATAAATTAACGATATAAATGAAATTAACGCATCAGGAAGTATAATCTAATATATATTTGATGTAGAAAGCATTAATTTTATATGCTCTTTTAATATCAAAATATATAGTATTATTAATAATATAGTATTTAAAAAAAATATTAAAATTTACTATAATTATAATGTAATTAGTTTTTAATAATAATTTAGCAACAAAATTAAAACATACATATCTGATATATAATTTAAGAGAACATTGATTCTGCTGATTTTATATTGATATTCTATATTAATTTAATATTAGATTATATTTTCTGATAACGATATTTATATTAATAAATTAACTATATTTTTACGTATATATTCATAAATTAAATTAATAAAAACGATATTAATACGTAACGATAATGGTACATAAATATATATTAATGAATAACTTGATACGTATATACGTATACAGTATGAGTTGGAGAAAAATAAGTACAGTCAACTCTTTCTATACCGAACCCTAGATTCTGGCCAAAAAAAGGGTTCATTATATAGAGTTACTATGTTTTCTTAAGAGATATAGCTCTTGCTATACCGAACTAATATT